TCGTTTGATTCATATTTGCCTCCATATTATTGCTTAGATCATTTCCTGCACATATGGAGTAATTGGTTATTTTTCATCATTGAAATTCACTGAGATATAATAATCTCCCCCTTTTTTATGATGATCAGCTACCTTGAGTGTGTTGTAGTCAACTCTCCGTTAATTAGCGTTTTTGGTAGAAATGTCTAGTCGACTCCCCCTCATTTGGACATTCTATTGTACCTCATGTGTAGTCAGTTACCCCTCATTTGTAGGCGACTCCCCCTCAGTTGTATACCGTATGATATACCTGTAATTTAAAAACAGAGCATAAAACACATAACACAGAAACAGGGAATATATAGAAACGCAGGCTTTAAGCTTGCTTACTATTTCTCCCCCTTTGTCATCAACTAAATAAAGGTAGGGAAATTAAAAGTATTTGTCCTAAGAGTACAACCCATGACTGAATCATCAATCGCAAAAATAGAGCAAAAAGAAAATTTTCTTAATCAACCAAACATTAGCGACACAGAAAGTAGGTAAGGGTGGTGCAAACTGCCCCCTTGAAGCGATCAAAACTAGCATTCACTATGACCAGAGACCCCATCAATTATGTCGTGTATCTCTTTGAAGTTCGTTACTACTTTTTCTGCAGTCGTGAGAATCTGCACTTGAATCTTGGACACGTCGGACCTTGTCTCCTTTGCCATTCCATGGATATCTTCAATCTGGCTTTACATAGAGGTTAAGGAGTTCTTGATGGCACACATTGTTTCATTTATGGAAACAAGCTTTTCTAGGAAGTCAGAATCACTTGTACTGGGGTGAGACACAAGAGCCTTTGCCTTGGAATCGGAGGGGACATTCTTAGTTTCACCTTCTTGTTTCTTGACCCAAGAACCTTTTACAGAAATATAATCTATGCTAGCAAATCCCCTGGAATTGTAAGACTTGGTGACAGTAATGTAAGGATGGTCAACAAGGGATATGTTGTTGGCTTTTATCAGATGGGTGATAACCATACCATAAGGAAGACTTGTGGGATTATCAACACTTTCTATCATAAAATTGATGACCCAAGAGGACAACTTGACTTTGTGCTTGGCCAGAAGGTAGTAAACTAAGAAGGTATCATGCTGGGAGAATGTAGAGAAGGATCATATTCTTGGATGAAGAGTGGTTGCTACAATATGTGCTAAGATACGAGTTTCAAAATAGACATCACTCGGTCCTAGTTGACTAGGGAGAGAGTCATAGGGTGATTCAGCTGTACATCTTTTAGCTTGATCAAAAGAGATTTCTAAGTCCTTAGGCCAGGTATTCTTAAAGAGCATAGAAAAACCATAACAACTACATTGAGAAAATAGTATCAAACAGAGTATAGTCCAAAATAATACATTTGCCAAGAACCAAGGTTTCTAATTTATCAAGTTTACTAGAGCGATGATTAGATAGAATATTCTAACAAGGGGTTCATATACCTTTGGAGGAGGCAAGGAGAGAAACAATTTCCAACCTTGGAAGTCGAAGAGTTCCTTCACTTTGCAGTTGAGGTTGTCCATGACATTTAAATCGACAACTCTGCCATGAGTGACATGCTTGTCTTTGAAAGCAATGAAGGCATTCCTGTTTGGAGTATTCCAAAAATTTAGGTCAGACTCAAGAGAACTAGAGAGATTAGTTTTGGGCTTTTTGGGAGTGAAGGTTTCAGGGAAGTCTGTCATGGGTCATTTTCCTAGGGCCGTCTCGTTGAGGCTGCGAGCATCATCTGAGAGATATTGAGAGGAGGTAAAGTCCTCGGAGTGATCTGATCCTAGATTGACTGGTTCAAGAAGTTGAGAAGAGGGTTTTGCCTAAGAGCGGGTGCTTTTGCGGGTAAAGGCAGATAGATTTTTGGAGTGCTTTGCCATGGTAGGGTTTGGAATAGGGGAGTGGAGATACAAAAAATTTGAGAGGGACAGAGGAGGCTTTGAACTAAAGGGGTGATAAACGGCGGTTGAGTACAAATGAAAAGGCGTCAGAGATTTGACGCAATGATTGACCGGTCTCTGAAAGGTTGTGAAAAGGTGTAAAACAAGAAAAGTAACAGACATATAATTAATGCATTTTACACACTTAAGGAAATATTTAAACTAAGATACAGAAATAATTAAAAATACCACAAATGCCCTAAAATTATGAGTTTATGAAAATAATGCCAAGAGAGTCTCGTAATGCACAAAATCTGTCTTCTAGCAAGGGTTTTGTGAATATATCTGCTAATTGATCAGTGGAACTAACAAACAATAATTCTATGTTGCCTTTAAGAACATGATCTCTAATAAAATGATGCTTAATATACATATGCTTAGCTCTAGAATGATGCACAAGATTCTTTGATAGACAAATAGCACTAGAATTATCACAAAATATTTGAACATGCTCGAAAAATAATTCATAGTCACCCAATTTATGAGACATCCATAGCAATTGAGCACAACATTGTCCAATTGCTATGTACTTTGCTTTAGTTATGGAAAGAGCCACTGATCCCTGTTTCTTATTGTTCTAGGAGATTAGTGCTTTTCCCAGTAATTGACAAGTCCCGCTTGTAATTTTTCCGTCCTCCTTGTCACCTGCGAGATCATCATATGAAAACCCCCTAAGTTTAAAATTGTAAGAGTGAGGATACCAAAGTTCGTAAGAGGTGGTTCCAATGAGATAGAGAATAATTCGATTTATTACTGTTAAGTGAGACTCTTTAGGAGCTGACTGAAACCTGGCACATTTACAAACATTGAACATGATATCTGGTCGACTAGCCGTTAGATATAGTAGAGATCCAATCATTCCACGATACTTGGTTTCATCTACTAAGTTTCCATATTCATTCCTGTCTAAACATGTAGACGGACTCATAGGAGTTCCAATTGATTTGGAATTGCTCATTCCAAATTTTTGAATCAATTCATTTGTATACTTGGTTTGGCAGATGAATATTCCACCTATCATATTGATGGATTTGTAGTCCAAGGAAAAATGTTAGCTCTCCCATCATACTCATTTTGAACTCACTTTGCATGAGATTTGAAAAGTCCTTGCACAAAAGAAGATTAGTACTACCAAATATGATATCATCTACATAGATTTGAATAATAAGATTACCTTCAGTAGATCTCTTGATAAATAGACTAGTATCCACCTAACCTCTGGTGAACCCATGATTAGTTAAAAAAGAACTCAATATTTCATACCAAGCTCGAGGAGCTTGTTTGAGTCCATAAAGAGCTTTAGTAGCTTGTACATATGATAAGGAAATTGTGAGTTTTCAAAACCAGAAGGTTATTTTACATATAACCCCTCATCAATAAAACCGTTTAGAAAAGCACTTTTGACCACAGTAGGCAAGCAATATACGAATTGATTCTAACTGTGCAACCTGTGTAAATATTTCATCATAGTCGACTCCTTCCTACTGTGAGTAGCCTTGAGCTACTAGTCTGGCTTTGTTTCTTACTACCTTTCCTTCTTCATTTAGCTTGTTTATAAATACCCACTTTGTTATCGACTATAGTAGCATTTGCAGGCTTAGGAACTAATTCCCAAACTTGGTTTTTGTCGAATTGATCAAGTTCGTGTTGCATGGCTTGAATCCAGCTAGAGTCCTTTAGGGCTTCATCATCTTTCTTAGGTTCTACTTGAGAGATGAGTGCAATATTTGCTTTCTTTTTGAGAGACCCTCTGGTTTTCATTCCTTCGCTTGGATCCTCTATGATGAATTTTTGAGGATATTCAGGTTCACTTCTCCATTCATTCAGTTGGGTTCCAACTGCATAAGTAGTCGACTCCTTTTGTGGTTCAACATGATTTATCACAGGTTCATTAGTCAACTCTGTAACTGTAGCTGGGATATCAGTCGACTTTTGTGGTTTATTTGTCTGTAATACTTCTTGGCTGGTGTCTTCATCACCTGCAATAATTCCTTTCTCGGCCATAGAGTTATTTTCATCGAATATAATATGCACTGATTCGTCTATAGATAATGTACATTTGTTGTAAACTCTAAAAGATCTACTATTAATAGAGTAACCAAGGAAAATACCTTTATTACTCCTTGGATCAAATTTACCAAGGTTATCCTTACCATTGTTGTGAATGAAACACTTACTTCCGAACGGGTAAAAGTAGCCAATATTTGGTTTCTTACCTTTCCATAATTCATATGGAGTCTTCTTCAAAATAGGTCATATGAGGCACCTGCTAAGAATATGGCATAATGTACTAATTGATTCTGCCCAGAAGTGATTTGACAGTGAATGTTCTAATATCATTATTATTGTCATATCTTGTAGAGTTCTATTCTTGCGCTCAACTACTCCATTCTGTTGGGGTGATCTTGTTGCTGAGAAGTTATGGGTATACCCTTGATCATTACAGAATTCTTCAAAAGAACTGCTTTCAAACTCTCCTCCATGGTCGCTTTGGATGGTTGTGATCAGATACCCTTTTTCTCTTTCAACTCTTTTGCAGAAAATCTCAAAAACTTTTAGAGCTTCATCTTTATGAGATAAGAAAATTACCCATGTAAAACGTGAGTAATCATCAACAATAATAAAAGCATATCGTTTACCTCCAATTCTGGCAGTTCTAGTGGGTCCAAACAAGTTCATATGAAGTAATTGAAATGGCTTGGTAGTGGACACAATATCCTTTATTTTGAAAGAGTTTCTAATTTTTTTACCAATCTGACATGCATCACATACATGATTTCTAGAAAAATTGAGTTTGGGAAGACCAATAACTAAATCATGCTTGGACAGTTTTTCAATAAGATTCATGCTTGCATGACCAAGTTTTTTATGCCAAAGCCATGGATCGTCAAAAATGGATGCTAGACATATGTGACTATCTAGATTTTCAATGCCATCAAGAATATAAACATTTCCATACCTTTTTCTTGGAAAAATAGTTTTACCTATTTTATCCTCAATGGAACATCCTGTTTTCTTAAATTTTACTTCATATCCTGAATCACATAGCTAACTTATGCTCAAAAGATTGTAGTTGAGTCCATCTACAAGATATACCTCTGTAATGTCATAATTATTTTTGAATGGAACTGTACCGGTACCAATTATCTTTTCTTTTGAATCATCACCAAATTTGACATTTTCACCATTTATTTTTGTGACTTCTTTGAACAGATTTTTGTCACTCGTCATGTGACTGGAACACACACTTTCTAAATACCATTTTTCTTTACGACTTTTTCTGTGGTGTTCCTCGCTTGTTTCACCTCGTGCCAAGAAACAATTTTCAGTATTTTCCTTGCATTCATCGTCTGATGTATCTTCATCAGTCCAGCAGCCAGAGTATTTGTTCATGTCATTTTCCAGGATGGTCATAAAATATAGATTTGCTATTTCTTCATGTTCTGAACTATCTTCATCACTCCAATTTTCGAAGGATTTATTTTTGCTGAACCCTATGGAGACTTTTCTTTTAATATCTCGGCATTCAGCTTGAACATGCCCACACCTTCCACAATCATAACACTTCCCATCATTCTTGTCATGTTCATTGTATTGCTTAGTTCGCCTAGATGGCATCCTTCCCCTTCTTGTATTTCTATACCTTTTCATTAACCCATCCATGTTTCTTGATACCATAGCAATTTCTTCTTCAAGAGCTTTTGGATCGTCATCAATATCATTCTCAGGTCCTTCAATTGTAGATTTGAAGGCAATTGTTTTCTTCTTTTCTTCCTGACTTACCTTCTTGAGATGGGTTTTCTCGAATGCTATAAGATCTCCTCTAAGTTCATCATATGAAAGTTTGTTTAGATCTTGAGATTCAAGTGCAACTACTTGCATCTGCCAAGTGGTAGGTAGACTACTAAAGATCTTTCAAACTTGATCACCACTTGAATAAGGTTTACCAAAAGCTTTCAGATCATTAATGATTTTGCTGAATCTTGCGAACATTTCCTCAATGGATTCTCCTTCTTTCATCTGAAAGAGTTCATAGTCATGAACCAACATGTTTATCCGAGTTTCTTTCACTTTGTTGATTCCTTCATAAGTGACCTCCAGTTTGTCCCATATTTCTTTAGCCGTATCACAGGTTGAAATCTTCTCATACTCCTCTCCACTTATAGCATTATACAACAGGTTTCGTGCCTTGGCATTAACCTGTACAACTGCTATTTGTTCATTTGTGTATTCATCTATATCTTCAGGATCAGTGGGTGGTTGAGCTGTTGCTGGTAGTGGATAGTTTCCCTTTTTGATAATATGCCATACTTTCACATCATAAGATTTTGCATAGATTTCTATTCGCACTTTCCAGTGAGAAAATTGTTGTCCATTTAAGTATGGTGGCCTGACTTGTGATGTTCCCTCTTGAAAGAGTGCTCCAACATTTATTTGATTGGCCATGATCTTTCCTCACAAGGGGGGATGAATTGTGATTTTTTTTTCTTTTCTTTTTTGAAGTAGTCGACTAATTTGAGTTCTAGTCGACTGGACTTTTCAGGAATTGAATGAAAAAGATAAATTGCAAAAATTAAATGACACAATATATTTTTATATTGGTTCGGATTTAGAGTGAATCCTATGTCCAGTTCCCTTGGGTTGCAAGGGTGATCACTTTCAAGTATGAAATGGCTCAGTACAGATGAGTTGATGTTGTTATACACCAACAACTTTTGTCACTCGTTCTTATATCTATAATTGATACAATGCCTCACCAGTGTTCTTTTCTCTCTCTCTTCTCTTCTTTGTTACACAAGAAATCTAAAGCAGACTATATTGTTTCGTTTGAAGTAGAACAAAGAGAATGAAGTTGGTTTGATCAAAGTATATCGTTCTAAATTCAGTGCAGTAGGGATTTATACTTCTCGATGCCTTGAAGTCTTGTACATCTTTTTTAGAGATTGCAAACCCAAAAGAGTTTGTATTCAGACGGATTCATATGTTGATTCTGACTTATCTTGACTCGCGGGCTTGAGTGATTTGTTCCTTAATTGAGAGAATATTCCCGTTTCCAGGTCCCTTGATTGATGTCTTCGATTGATATTATGTGGGAGAATCTTTTGCGGATGATTTCGTGCCAGTAAACTCCTTTGATTTAGATCCTTCTTATAATATCTCTTTTAATTGATTTTGCCATGTTCCTTGATTGATTTGTCCGCTTCTCTTTCCTTTTTCGTTTGATTCATATTTGCCTCCATATTATTGCTTAGATCTTTTCCTGTACATAGGGAGTAATTGGTTGTTTTGCATCATTGAAATTTACTGAGATCTAACATAACAAATTCTGATGACATTTTCTTTATAAAAATACAAGAACAAATAACATCTTTTATGTAACCTTCTTTCAGCAAATATTTACTGAGGCGATTATACCATATGCGCCTAGATGGCTTTAAATCGTACAAAGATGTTTTTAATTTAATCGAGTACATTTCTCGATATTTTGAATTATATGCTTCAAGCATTCTAAATACTTCAGGTATCTTCATATAAATTTGATCAAATGAGTCATATAGGTTATGACATGCATATAAATGGCATGATATCTTCAGGTGTCTGGACTACAGGTATGATCCTTACATTCTTTTATAATATTGTGCACTATATTGTATCAAATATATCGTCGACGACTATTTTGTATCGGTTCCCAAGCGACATAACTTATTGAGATCTCTTCACTTTCTTTATTTTCAGATACCTGAACTTCTTCTGGAGTTTCATGAAATGTTATGTTGTGGGCTCTTCTATAGCTCATTTCCTCATTATGATCATTTGCTTCTATCATTTTTCAAGAATTATTATCTTTGGAACCGATCACGCTTCATGCGTACAGTAAACTTTATCCTTCAGGTACTTTAATTTTAATAGGAGCATTTGCAGCTGATATATGATATTAAATTTTGGATCAGCAAATGCCTCTGGCATTTGACTTGAATTGTCTTCTGAGTGAGGATCATATTAATGATAATTAGATTCATATAGCATATTTTTCAGCTACATATTCCATCTCCCAAATGTTAGAAAAACTAACATATATCCCCAATCTTCTTTGGGGAACCTATCTTTGTGCACGTGGTAGAGAAATTAATTGTATACCACACATCAACAGTTATTAGATAGTAAAAATATTTGGTTTATGATCCAAAACGAATTGTAAAGGGAGGACTTATCATATATTGTTGGTCTGATGAATACAAATACTGTTGTATGCAATTTAGAAAATCTTAGACCAACACATGAAGCTTTGTTCTTATAAGCAATAGTTTAGCCATTAATAGGAGGTATTCAATACTAAACCAACTTGGATAAAAACCAACTTTATCAAGATGAATTATCTAGATTTCATAATCCGAAAAATATTATGCTCTTAATTGAGAAAAGCAATTTCAAATGTCAAACTATAGGTTAATAATAAACACACATGTAACCATCTCATATATGCATTTATAGGTGGTTCACATGATAGGTGAATGTGCCCATATTCACCCTTTATATATTTCAGGAAAGTCCTGGTGCCAAGAGAGGATCATGAAAGAACGGGTAAAATCTTATAACACGGTTATCAAGTGAGAAAGGCTATAGGCTCAAAGGGGGTTGACTAGGGATAACAACATTGGTTGGGAATAGAAAGTTCAAACGGCCAAGGAAAGCCTATAATCATTTCTCAAACCAAGCAAAACTTAGGATTTCGCCTTGAAGCACATTCGGGGCAAGTTCTAGACCATTCGCACAGATACTTGGACTAACAACAAATCATCTCACCCCTCACACAAATAGACCGTAAAAGAGGATAGAGTCGAGAATCTACAACGACCACAATCAAGTTAAAGATCACTATAGTCCAATTAACCACTCGGTGATTACCAAAGTCAGCTCAAGAATCTCAAAGACACGGACTAGAGTTATTTTCTTTCAAAAACCTTGTTTCAAACTATAAGCACATAATTAAGTATGTTGGTACCAAATGAAGCATGAATAACTCTTTTTCGAGAATGACTTGATTAAGCATTTTATTCATTACTACTACTATTATTACCTAAACACAAAAATAGACTCATTCCTTTAAGAAGGTTGTCACTCCATCCATCGTTGAGACAAGTCATCCGGTTCACATAAAAACTACCTTTGGAAAGAACCGTGGTGTTAAGAAAACCAAAGGCTTATTATCTATGATAGCATAAAAAGAAGCTACTAACAAAACAAGAACTAAAGTGAAAAAATAAAGAAGCTAATGAACAATAACTACTAANGAGGGTGAAGAAAACTCCCTAAGGATCCTTGGACATCTCAGTGTCCCTAGCAATATCATCTGTCATAGGGTCAGCCATCTGTATCTCATCATCATCAAATCTAGGCATGGCGGGAGCGGTAAACATCACACGCACTACTTCAACAGTGTCGGCAACAAGGTCTGGCTCCTCAGATTGGCCAGCTAGTGCAACCGGTGCAGATGGTGCTGATGGATCTGGGGCAGACTGTTGCGGGTCAAGTAGCATGTCTAAACGTATATCTCTCGCTGTCACAAGTCTGGTCACCTCCCTCCGGAGCTTGTCCATTGATTTCTTACTTGCTTGGGGCTTCCTCATCTTCTTCACTTCCTTGCTCAGTTCCTCAATAACCGACCCGTGTTGTACCCGAGTGTCCATGATCATATTCTGGTTGTCCAGAATCTTCTTCAATTCCTCATTAAGATCAAAGGATACATGTGGTGCATGTGTAGATGACTGCACTGCAACAATAATAGATATGTCAGACGGCTTTGAAGTAGCTGTCTGCATCCAGTTATTGAGACTCGCCAATGTCTGGGAGACTCGTAGAGCAGATAATGGAGTTGTAGGCATAGTTACTCGCCTTAGAGTTGGAGTAGGGGATGCCCTAGGGCTGTGGTAGGAGCTGAGGATGGTGGCAGAGGCATAACAACACTAGAAGAGGGCTTAACAGAGGTGGATGAAAGGTCATTTGTCTCAGTAACTACCACTGTCGGCTCATCAGACTAGCCTGTGGTGGTAGAAGGCCGGGATTTATTCTTTGGGTCGGTCTCATCCATCACTGAATTCCAATCAAATGGCTTCTTCGGCTTTACCTTGGTGTCAAATGATCTCGGCTCTACCTTCGCATCAGTGAGGTACTCTATGATTGTGTTGGGATAAAGGTAGGCCTAGCTAGCCTACTATGCTATCAATGAAATGTTGGCCGACATCACGGCACCCACATTAATTGGGTACCCATCCATGATGAAAGCCACATGAACAGCCCGAGGAATAGGTAAATGACTCTCATTCTGGCATGGATCAAGTCTATTGCAAACAAAGGTCTTCCACCATTTCGCCTCGAAGCTCAATTTGTTCCGCTGAATGGGAACCCCAGCGGTAATCCATGGTGGTGGTGGCCCTGGTGGAGACAGGCCATAGGAACTAGATTTGGAGAGGTCTGCACCTCTCCCTCTGCATGTGTGGTTTTCTTTCTGATGGTCTTAGGCTGGCCGAGGGGAAAGGTACCTCTACCTCGACCCCTAGAAGATTCACCTCTTCCCTTATTAGTGTCGTCGCGGCCTCGCGATTGGACCATTGCCTGTATTAAAGCAAAGAAGATCATTAGTTGAAAGTTTTCATTCAGCACATTCAGGACTTATGTAGGCAAATGAGGCACATGGGGATACAATGGGGTTATGATTAAAACACAGGGTTGCAGGTAATAAGTTCTGCGGTCCGCCTAATTTTTATGTGCGGACGCAGAAAGGAATTGCGGTCCACAAAATTTGGATATGCGGTCGCAGAATGAAAGTAAAGTCCACATAATCGCAAGTGTGGCCACACTTCAGACTTTCAAAGTTCAGAGGA